CGCGTGATGGGCATATCCAGTGCTTAAAGCACCGCCTCTGGCGGTCATCCGGGATTCATAGAACCGTAGTTACAGTCATAACTTTCGTTCTGCATTGTTATTCAAACACTCCCTTTGTCTTATTAATGAAAAATAAAAAAGTGTTCCTCATTCTGTGAGATGCCTAATATTATCTAAGATATGAACTGAGCTAATGGAAAATATTCCAGAGACTGCCTATCCCTTCTATTCATTTAAAATATTCCACAATCTGGTCTAGAGTAACTTATTCAACATCATCTGAATATCCGTCTGATTTTAAAATGTTTATTTAGCGCAATACTTTTTGATTTGAGTCTTTAAATGAAGTTTGAAATTGTTTTGTTCCTCCACCCTAAATCTTGTTGTATTAAGATTAGATATTAGATATCAAATAGCGTCAGCAGGAAACAAAGTCGCTGAGAGGCTGAGGCCGGGCCTGTTTGATATTGTGTGACACGCTACAAAAAAGTACTTGCTGAGATCAAAAACTCTGTTGAAAAATAATGTAGTTTAATGAAAACTGGGATGATCAACTTATTTTCCTTGGACATAGACATCGTTATAATAATCAAAGCAATCATTAAACTGCGGTCAACAAAAAGTAAACGACCCTGTGTCACCCTCTCTTCCACACACACACCTCACGCAGGTGAACAGGATTTTAATGAGTGCCGCCCATATCCATGTGACCCAAGCCAACCAATCAATTGTGATCAAACAAATATCTTATATTAAAACAAAACTCATTACTGTACACGCTTCATGACTCCTACAGCCGCTAAATTGAAACACTTTTGTCCTGTGAACCAATTCACCATTAAAAAGAGCTCTATAAAATGACACACTGTTATTAACACAAAGTATACATGCATATTTTTATTCATTTGTGTTTCATTAAACCCAAAGTCTCTCGTTTTGTCTGTACTACTAAAAAACAACCTTGCCTTGAAATTAGAAACATTCTTTGGATAAGACTCATACGATAAGAGAAGTAAAGATATGGTTGTATCAGCACCTCCTTAGTTAAACACAGCCACCAGCCCACCACTCAAACACAGTACATGTTGATCCTGTTCCTTTGCTACTTTTCTGTTCATTGACTTTTAACCTATTTTGCTGTTAAGGTGTCAGGAATTCTTCTTTGAGGAAACGTATTGTAATGAGATTTATTACACATGCCTCTTAACCTCTTAAGCCCTGAGCCTGTTTTTCAGGTCTGGTTTCAGGTCTGGTTTCAGGTCTGGTTTCAGGTCTGGTTTCCGTTACAGTAAGAGCAGAATAGGACATTAAATACAACATGCACACCCAGAGTAAACTCATCAAGGCTTTAAGATTATTTTACTGAAAGACAATTATTATTAATCAGCACTAAAAACTATCAGGAGTGAAAATCTTTCAATAAGAGAAATTAACACACATTTGTATTGAGCTATTTGTATATATCGAATTCAATTTTTAAAGCCTTGTGGTTTGCAGAATTGTCCTCTTATATTTTAATTTATTATCACCTTAATTCGTTTTTCTACCCATCCAAAAATAAAAAAATGGCTTTTCAAATTGTTTACGAAGTGCTTTACTGTAATAAGCAGCAATTCCTTGATGTAAAAATAAAAAAAATTACCAGCACAAGTGCTTTCAATACTGTCGTTTTATTAGAACAGGTTAAAAACAAAGTACTCGTTATACTGTAATATTTCTTGCAATACTCAAATCCAACAGGTAGAGTTTAGAAAATAAAGAAAAAGATCATAATGTATTTGTTTAACTCGTGCTTCAGCTCTCTGTCCCGCCCAGTGGTGACTGTTATCCACAGCACCACAGGACACCTTTAATGAATCTTTTCGATGTCTAAATGACCAAAATCTAGTATTTTTGTTTTTGTTTTTACTTTATCCCAATTTTTTCTTCCAGAATAAATTAGCATTTGTCACCTTTTGTGAAATTGTTGACTTATTATTTGTGTAAATGTGTCGTCAATGTCAGAGATCAAAAAACGAAGAAGAACAGACTGCGTGGTCTAAACAAACAACAAATAGCGTGTGCGTTCCATTTTCACTCTCGTCCATCGAAAACATGTTTCGTGCGGTACTGGAGCTATCAGCCATTGGAGTGTTGCTTGTGGAAGACATTCTCAAGCAACCGTTTCGCTTCTCATGCACTGATTCGCTAGCTGAACAGCCAATCAGAGTGATTTCTTTGTCCGACTGCCTGTGGCCGACGCACGGGACACACCAACGCATGGCCGTGCGTCGGCATGAAAGGCCAAATAAGGCGTGTCACGGCCGACGGTGCGGGACACACCAAATTGAGTTTGGGCGACAGGGCACGCTTCGTCGTCCGACTAACGAAAACGGCCGATTTCGGCCTGGTGTGTCAGGGCCTTTAAACAGATGCCCATATCTGTAACAGTCCACTTCCAAAAGCAGAAAAATCTCTCTTGCATCAAAAAGGGGACAAAAAGAAAAAACACTGGAAAAATCTACTCTTGATCCAGAAAATCAAAAACCATCCATCCACCAAACAGCGCCACCAAAAGGCCTCAGTGAAAAAAACACAAGGCCGGCTAGCCAACCACAACTCGAAAAGCATTTAAAAAGATAGACATCAGACCAGTTCCTCTGCTTGCAAAAAACAAAACCTGCAAAAGAGTGACGAAATCTGCAATAAATCATGGATCAGGGAGAAGCTGCGACTATAAAAACCAACAAGAGCCTCTTAGCTATGAGCTAGCTTAGCTTAGACAAAACGGTCCCGTCAAGGAAAAATCTTCACAATAAACGCAGGAAAACCAAAGCTACACAATCTTGCGAAAAATGGAAGAAACAGCAGCTAAGATGCATCCAAAAGAGTGGCGTTTCTTAAAAACCACAATCAGCGTGTGTGTGTTTTCTTTCAGGGGGAAAAGAGCGAGTTAGCATAGCTAGTTACCTCGCTAGCTAGCCATCACATAACGCTGGTAAAATAGAAAAAGCATTGTTGCAAAAAATCCAAAAAGAAAAAAGAATGGAAAAATAAAACAGAAATGTCTGGGAACAACATTTTAGGGTAAAATGTCTTGCTTTCAGTAAAACGTGTGACTACAGGCCGTCCTTTTATGAAGCTCTGAGCAGCTTTCTCTTACCACCGAGCTGTGATGGCGGTGGCGCAGTACTGGAAAAGGATGCTTGTTTTGGGTCATAGAACACCCCGGGAAGGCGGGGTCTGTGATTGAGCGAACATTCAAACAGCACCACCCACTCCGGTGTGGCCTGGTGTTTAAAACATACTCACCTGTTGTCTTTGAAAGTCAGTCTTTCCTACAAATATTTTTGCCTTGATTTCGTCGTTAAATAGAGTGGCGAAGTCCCTCCCCTTCCGGTGGACCTCCATGGGACCTTATTTCGGAAAAATTATGTATTGAAGTCAATGGAGAGAGAAAGATTATCTTTCGATCCCGTTTGAATTGTGCCACGAATTACACATATGATGTTTGTCAATTTAAAAGATAATTTTGCAAGTAAAAAAAAAAAAAATGTGTCGTAAAACTGTGAAGTAACACATTTGTTTGTGTGAAACGCTCAATGAACTACATCTCTGGTCTCACAGAACAACACACGTCACCAAGATGGCCATCACTACTGTCTTGTCAACAAAACGATTGACTACCCTCACTATCACCACAATGAAACACGTCCTGAAGAATGTCATGCAAAGCTGCCTGCCTGCCTTCCTTTGATTCTCTCTGAACTGCCTGGTCTTTTTAATGTTTAATGTCAACCATTTGTGCAGATAGCATGAAGTAGAGAAGATCGCCGATGCTAGCGTTAGCGTTAGCATTTCTCCCCCGGGCTTAAATTGTGTATTATAGAATGATCACACCGGTGACAGTACTATTCAAAGGGTTCACGAAATATGACTACTACTCTTACTGTTTAACATTTTGGGTTACTTAATGTTACTTCATGTTAAGGCTAATAAAAATGACAAGGCTGTAATGCTAACTAACGTGCTAGCTACTAGCTAGCTTGATCCAGACACTCCTGGTCCTTTCATCAGACGGGAAGCGAAAGAACGAGCAAGACCCATTGCTGGTATGATAACAACCTGGTACTAAGCACACAGGCATCTTGTTAAAGTTATTTTATCTTAGCCAGCGCCATATAGATAGATTCTATCTATATGGCGCTGATCTTAGCTATCTCTTAGTGGAGGAAAACAATTGTGACATCACTTACTCTGGGATTTGTAGTCTTTCTAGTTGCGTATTTTTCATAGTCTTATATTTCAACAGTTTTACGACAAACTGTGACTTTTTTGACATGGAAATTATTTTTTAAGATTGACAAACATCATATGTGTAATTCATGGCACAATTCAAACGGGATCGAAAGATAAGTTTTCTCTCTCCATTGACTTCAATACATTATTTTTCCGAAATAAGGTCCCATGGACCGGAAGTAGATGGGCGTGACTTCACCACTCTATAGGGTTTTAACGTTGTCTGTTTTACATAAGGAAACGGGTATTTAAGTCATAATTGTGAATTATGTTTAAAATGTTATTTTTGAGATTAATGGCAAATCACAAACCCTTTTTTTTCAGTTGTTGTGAATGATGCTGAGGTGATGTCATTCTATGGCTGAATCAATTAGTTGATTGACAGGAAGAAATAAATACTAGTTATTATGAAGAAGTCACTTTTCAAGCATCGATTCCCTGTTTTATGTGCTTTATTGGGAACATGTGCCCACTGCTTCTGTCTTATTCAAGAGATATCTGAGTGTTTTTTAGGTTTTAGACTGGTGATAAGACCATATTAAATTGCAATCACTGTCAGCTTTATATACTTTACTGGCATTTTTCACAAATAGTTAGATTTTATTCAGTACCTAAATTGTTCGTTGTGGTCCTAAAGTCATGGTTTGTTATGTGTACCATGATGCATTTTCAACATCTGTAGAAAAACTCTGTTAATGACATGACTCCACAAACAATTACAATTAAAATGTAATTTAATCATTTATTATTTCCCTTTGAAAAGTATTTTACAGTCACAGTACATTTTACATGTAAATATTAAAACACAATAATGACACAGCTGGTTTGGCTTGGGTTTCCCTGAATGTGTGTTGACGTTTACTTTAGTTTCAGTAAACAATTCAAAGCCTGCAAATGTGTGTTTATAAAAAACTACCTGAGGTGCTAGATAGGCTGGATCAGATGGAAACATATTACATAAATGCAAAACTGTAATTACAACACTTTTTCAATAGCCCTATGCAGGAAATGAATAACATAATTTATAATAATAATAATAATAATACATGGGATTTTTATAGCGCTCTTCCTAATGCTCAAAGACGGTTTACATATAACCAATTAAGTGTTTAATCTGGAGTTGGATCACAAAGTACATCTCATGAACAAACAAAGTGCAAAATGACCTTCAAACATGTCTTAATGAGTTCAGTGAAAATATTTTAATAAATAGCTTGACACTCGGTTTATTTCTTTCTTCATGGCATCAAACTGGACAGCTCTCTCTCCTCTCAGACTCTCAGCAGGACGGACAGCGTGAGGACGCTCAGCAGGAGCAGCACGGCTGGAGGGAAGGAGAAAGAAGATGTTAATCACAAAATGTTGAATCATTAGGCTCTTCCTCCTCTGCTGTTTAATTGTTACCATGGCGCCTCCTTTTTTTGTCTTTTGTTTACAGATATCCAGTTTTATATGCAGAGGTTTAAAAAAAGATGGATCCTAGTTAAATACCTTCACCCAAATACCATGTGAATTAATGGAGTTTTTTTTTGTCTAAGAATCTCCCTTCTACTCTAGATGATCCTCTAAACATGTCATTTGTATAGTGATATGGTTATATTTCAACCTGGTTTAAAAAACTCATAATTGTACGTCATAAAAAGTTATAGTATAGTAGAGCATTAAAAAGTCATAATATGGTACATTTTATGCCACGTTACAAAGGAAAAACATATGCTTTAAAAAGCAATTGGAAAAAATCAAAGTATGTCATAGAAAATATAGTAGGTTATAACAAAATATCATAACAATCATGGTATAATAAGTACTTATAGATGTCATGAGTATAAACAAATGTCATATTATAGCATGCCATTAAAAAAACATTCTCAAAAAAGTCAAAAACAAATAAGGACAATGAAGCCTTAAAAAAATGGTTTAATACTGTGAGCATCACAGATGCAATTCCAACCCATTGTTTAAATAATTAATACTAAATTCCATATTTCCAGGACACTGTAGGAACAATACAAACGTTTTTCCTCCTCCCACCCTTTACTGATCTTATCTCTCAGTATCTAGTTACTAGTCGTAGATTGCTCTCAAATGTGTTGAATCAGGACACCATATACTTCTGGACCGAAGCTTCTGAAAACCTGGAGAGAAATTATATGTATTTTCTTACCATGAGGCTGGAGAGCTCCACTGTTGTTGGGCATGGTGGTGTTGTTGATGGGTGCTGTGGTGGTGGGTGCTGCTGTGGTGGGGACGTTGCTGTCGGGTTTGGTGAGGTCCAGTGGTTTGCTGCCGAACAAGAGATTGAAGGCACCGAAAACACCTGAACAATCACAAGAGGAGGACAGATCAGTGGGAGGTTAGACATGTATTGACAAACCTTTAACATATAGTTAAATGCATTAAATACAGAATCGTATCAAATCATAAACGTTTCAAAGTGGAAGCAGTTTATCTGTTCTTATCTCTGGATATAAGCGTGCAAATCTGTAATGATATTTTTTTTAAATGTATGCCAAAAGGGAGAAAACAGTAAATAATCAAGCACTTATAAATAAAATAGTTATACAGTGTGTGTATCTGTGTGTGTACTTACTTCCGTCGAAGCTTCCGTTCCCGAGCAGGACGGAGAAGGTAGTGTCTTCACTGCTCCTGGTGTTGGAGGCGTTCACGTTGGGGACCGTAAACTCACACTTGATCATATTTCCGTTCACCATGCCACCGATTTCTTTCACTCTCTAGAAAAAGATAGATAATGTAATAACTGTCTCCAAGGCTGTGTGCTGAAGCCAAGGATAACATCTGCTTCACTGAGCAACTCGAATCTAACAGCAGCTGCCTCTCAAAACCAGACTTTTCAGATCAGTTTTCACATGTACAAATCTAATGTACAATCTAATGTTGGCATTTGATTGCAAACAGGTGGGTGACAACAAAAAAAAATGAACGATCTCTCTAGATTAAGAAACTATCATTATTCTAAATTAAATGTGTGACAGTTGAATGAATGGAAAATAATCTGAGTATCTGAGCAATATCATTTTCTCATATTAAGATTACATTGTAAGCAGTAGAAAAATCGATATGAAGGTATTTCAATTTCTGGTCCTCCATTGTTTCATATCACATAAATAAGTACATTTCCCTAAGTGTGAATACATGAATATGCCAACATCTCTCTGTATGAGTGTACATTTGAAATCTCACCGTCTCAGTTGGAGTGAGCATTTTGTCAGTGTTGTTCATCTGCATTGTCCGGAACAAGAACTTCCCGTTGTCCGAGCTGTTCTGAGCGCAGATGAAAAGCATGCTGGTACCCTGCGGAAATAAATATTGGTGAAAAGATGAGATGGCTTCCTTGAAGTTAAGACAATGACACATTGCTACAGTACAGTGTCTTTGTTAAGGCTAGGAATACGACAATAAAGAGATGAACAACTCTGGAGTTGAGTTTCCAGCTCTTATTGTTATGTTTTGTCTCTGTGTTCACCCGAGTGTGGTGTGTGTGTGTGTGTGTGTGTGTGTGTGTGTGTGTGTGTGTGTGTGTGTGTGTGTGTGTGTGTGTGTGTGTGTGTGTGTGTGTGTGTGTGTGTGTGTGTGTGTGTGTGTGTGTGTGTGTGTGTGTGTGTGTGTAAGAACAACTACAAAAGGGTGTTTGGTTCAATGTAGGTTAGAATATAAATACATGGGAGACGGGAGGATAATTCAGGAAAAAACACGGAATTTGTATACAACAGAAAAACTTGATGTTCTCTGAGATTTGAGTGCTCGATTTATAATAAAACGTTTAAAAAATACAAGATATTTTAATAAATTGTGAAATTATTTTGTCATAGTCGTTGGAGAAAACGTGTTAATAAAATAACGAGAACAAACTGGTGTTGTTTTAAAAAACAAGTGTGTGAGGCATCAAGAGTGTATAAATTATATTTGGGAAAGGCAGCAGCACAATACACAAACACAAGAAGGTCATTATGAAGCATGAAAGTATAATATTCAACCTATTTTTATGCTATATATCTTCAGCGTTTAAAGAAGTAGCACAATTAATGACAGTCTGACATTTTCCTTCAGTTTAAATCTTAGTTTAAATGTATGAAATATATTTGGCATCTGGGTAATGTTGCGTGACACACAAGATGAAACGTTGACGCGCGATTACATAACACATCATTGTAACATCAGGTAGTAAAACACCGGTTTATTACTTCTCTATGGAAACAAAGCAGCCGCATGGTGTTCCTCAAACAAATGTAGGCAAATGATGTTATTATGTGTCCTATTTCAGGGGCTGGATCCTCTGAATCAAAGCTGAACTTTATAATATAAAAAGGCACACATGCTGAAAACCCAACCCCACAAGGGAGGTCTGGGGAGATTTTTTAGAAATTCTAACATATAAACTACGCATTCTGGTACACTCTGAGAAGAAAATAAATAAATCTATTACTACCCGACATATTAATAATATTTAATGCCATTGTTTGTTTTTCACTTTGTTCTGACAGCTGAACTTGTCTGTGTGAATCGTGGGTAGGTAGATAGCTCCCATTGTTCTGTGACCTGTCAGTCATCAAACCGGGGGTCATATTTCATTATGTGTTCATTTTTATCTGAAGTTGTACCCATGGGTGCATAAAGAGTAGTTCTTCCGCAAAATTATTCTCCGTGGGGACTTCCGGCAACAATCTTGATTCTGATAGAGTGGCGAAGTCACGCCCATCTATTTCCGGTCCATGGGACCTTATTTCGGAAAAATAATGTATTGAAGTCAATGGAGAGAGAAAACGTATCATTCGATCCCGTTTGAATTGTGCCATGAATTACACATATGTTGTTTGTCAATCTTAAAAAATAATTTCCATGTCAAAAAAGTCACAGTTTGTCGTAAAACTGTTGAAATATAAGACTATGAAAAATACGCAACTAGAAAGACTACAAATCCCAGAGTCGCGTAAGTGATGTCACAATTGTTTTCCTCCACTTTTGCTTCCGGTCTGATGAAAGGACCAGGAGTGGCTTGATCAAGTTAGCTACCTAGCTAGTAGCTAGCACGTTAGTTAGCATTACAGCCTTGTCATTTTTATTAGCCTTAACATGAAGTAACATTAAGTAACCCAAAATGTTAAACAGTAAGAGTAGTAGTCATATTTCGTGAACCCTTTGAAGAGTACTGTCACCGGTGTGGTCATTCTATAATACACAATTTAAGCCCGGGGGAGAAATGCTAACGCTAACGCTAGCGATCTTTTCTACTTCATGCTATTTGCACAAATGGTTGACATTAAACATTAAAACGACCAGCAGTTCAGAGAGAATCAAAGGAAGGCAGGCAGGCAGCTTTGCATGACATTCTTCAGGACGTGTTTCATTGTGGTGATAGTGAGGGTAGTCAATCGTTTTGTTGACAAGACAGTAGTGACGGCCATCTTGGTGACGTGTGTTGTTGACCAGAGATGTAGTTCATTGAGCGTTTCACACAAACAAATGTGTTACTTCACAGTTTTACGACACATTTTTTTTTTTTGACTTGCAAAATTATCTTTTAAATTGACAAACATCATATGTGTAATTCGTGGCACAATTCAAACGGGATCGAAAGATAATCTTTCTCTCTCCATTGACTTCAATATATAATTTTTCCGAAATAAGGTCCCATGGAGGTCCACCGGAAGGGGAGGGACTTCGCCACTCTATTGGCCAGAAGACTCGAAAAAAAATGTCTGTTTGTCTGTTTGTCTTCTGTCTGTGTGGGATTTCGTTTGCCCTGATGTTAGGCAGTATTTACATTGTTACTCTACCTATTTTTCTATAAAGTGAAGATTTGTTTACCTATTTTTGATACATGCTCTGATAGAATAACTGTATGTATATATACAAAATGGCCACACTGCATGATTGTGTGTGTGTGTGTGTGTGTTACCTCTGAGGCGTTGGCAGTGACTCCCACAGCGATGTATCCTGAGGACTCTCCGCTCAGCTCGACGGAGAAGTCAACCCCGTTGGGAAGCACTGAGACGGAGGAGACCGCGGAGACGAACAGACAGGAGTTTCCAGAGGGGTCGCAGTTATCTGGGGTCTCCACACACAGTTTGGAGACTCCACAGCCATCTCGAGTGATGTTCACCTGTTAGACACACACAGAAACATCAACACGGTCTTTAAAGGTCCCCTATTATACTCTTTTTCATCAATATAGTTCTCAGATATTTATAAAACATGTCTCTGAAGTGTTTGGCTCCAAATACCAAACAGATCATTGCAGCATCCCATAATCCCCTCTGTTTCAGCCCTGTTTCAAAAGTAGTGATTCTCTGTCTGTTACTTTAGATGAAAATAAGGAGCCACTCCCCACGCCCCTCTGAGAGATATTTGGTTACAAAGAACACATTAGGCGCTTTCACACCGGAGTACTTTTCTCCATACTTTTCCCGTTTAGTTCCGATAGTGCCTGGAATTTTGCGTTCACACCAAAAAGAGAACTTAGTTCAGATAACTTTTACCCCCATTTTTAGTGCCTGCTAGAGAGCAGGTACTTTCCTGGGGAGAAAAAAAGACCAATTTCTGATTGGCTGGGCGAATTGCAAACCACGCCCCGTAAAACTCTGAAAAGTTTTGTGAAGCCGCCATTGTATTTGCTGGCATTAGCATTATTAGCATTAGCCCCGCGCACCAACGGAGAGAGAATAATTTATAGCAACACAAATAAAACATGGGAGCGGTGGAGTGATGAGGAGAAGCTGCTGGGAGTCCCAGCAGCTTCTACTGAAGCCAGTCCCCAACTCCGGGGGCTTCCGGCCGGGGACATCGGGTGGCAGTATACGCCGTGAAGTGGTTGCCAGTAAACCCAAAGCAGAAGAAGAAGAAGTGACGTCAGCGGCTTCATTTGCGTAATCCTCCCTCAGGGAACTTAATCCGGTGTGAACGCGATCTGTACTTAGTTCCATGGGGGTACTAAGTGCCAGGCACTAAGTACGGCAAAGTACTTGGTGTGAAAGCGGCTAATGACAACAAAAAATAACTGCCCACGCCCCTCTGAGAGATATTTGGTTAAAAAGAACACAATGGTGCTCTAGGAGGAGATTCAGGTGATAAGGTGGGGGGGGGGGGGTTACCTTGGTTAGTGATTGGCTGATGGTTAAACAAGCCAAAAAATCGTTATGACATCATAAAGTGGCCAAAATCTGATCAGCTCATTTTCAGACAGGTTTTTATATAAATGGATCAGGACAAAAAGTGAGCGAATCTTTTTTCCTGAAACTTTCAGAATCTCTTTACACAGAGGAGACATGATGATGATCAAATGATGGACTTCATTGTGTGTTAGGGATCTATTCCTATGGGGGTATTTAAGGGCAAAGCATAGCTGTTTGTGTGTAGTTTTGAAATCAATAGTATGTTTTAAGCATTTATTTAAGTATTCATGAAAAAGTGGATTTTGCATAATAGGTGACCTTTAAACATCTGCGGCTACTCTCAGCTGGCCTCATTCTTTCCTCCTCCTTCATCTATTTTGTAGTTAGATTGCATTTCATTTAGCTGACATTTTGTGTAGAAAGTGATTTACTATTTCTGCAATCAACCATGAGGATACAAACTCAGGACAGCAAGAATACTGCAACTACATTACCTTTAAATTCGACCAACAACTTGTTGTGCTGGTGCATTAGCTTCAAACATTTCTGTCAATTTTTTTTATTAAATGGTCTTCTTTTTTTGTTTAATGGCCAAGGTAGCTAACACTTTTTAGTTGGTGAGTTACACTTCACCAATTTGACAATTTGTCAGTTTACTCATAGCGAGGAGTACTCAGCATGTTACATAATGTCCTATTTATATTTCAAAAAGCTTTCTTAAGTATGTGAGATGTCTAGAAACTATTGAGTTGCATTATGGGAAGTGTAGGATCCACTGTGTTTTGGATCTTGACCAGTACTTGTCAATGTTTAGGCTATTTCGAATTGTTCTTGATTTTTTTTTAAATATTGATACTTTTATTATTATAGACCTCTAAAATCAGAGCCATCTTTTATGGTTTTGTTTGGCAAAGTTATGAATTTGAGTTTGTAAGTCAGGCTGCATCAACAACTTCTCAATAAAAGAGGAAAGAGAAGTCCAGACCGAGGAAATACGGCAGATTTTAAATACTACACTATACAGATCAACCTGACCTTTTATTAAAGAGCTGCTACATTTAAAAATATATTTGTAAATTATTATCAACCTTTCAAAATACGAAATTGGTCCTTGGAAAAATATTTGTTGGTTACCTGTTTGAAGTACAAAGGTCAAGCAGATCATTTGGTTATTTACATTCAGAGGATTGAAGTGAAAAAACTCCCACCTGTGTATTATTGGAAAAAGCCAAATGAGCCGTTCCCTGGACATCTGGTGACAGAAAGAGCAGCAACGCAGCGGCCAACACGATCAATCCTCCTTCCATTTCTATCAGGACGACAGTCATCGACAAACAATGGAGAGTTAACGTTGAACATGTCTGATCTGAGAGCCTTTCCATCACCGATTGACCCTCAGTTTTATTCGAAAATCTGAATTAATCCCAAAGATATTCTTTCACTCTTTCATTTAAGCAAGATTGTACATTTTTTTAAAACACAAGATGAATTTTACAAATACAGAATTTGTAGTAATGGATTATAATTGTTAGAGTTAATACATTTGTGAAATCCTGTTTAAAAATGATATACGAAAAAATAAAACTTCAGACCTTTGTTTTCCTCAGCAAATTGATAAAATCACTAAAAAAAGATTACTTTTATACTCTGTCTATACACTACTCTAGTACTAATAGTCCATCTTGCGTTCTTTGTCAGGCTTTTGAGAGAAAGTTAGCAAACTTAATCATCTACAAATGTAAAGTAATATTGAGTTTTTTGATCATCTGTAAACCAGAACACTTCTCAGTATCGTTAATCTATTCCAGGAAAAGTAAAAACATCATGAAATAGTCTTTAAAATCACACAGCAAACAACATTAAGAGAAAGAAGTGGGTATATTATTAAAATGAACAATAACAAAACATTAAAAGTAATCACTCAATAACCAGGCTTTTCATAGAGACTTACCTGAGGTGTGAGAGTCAAATGTTGAGTTTTAAGAAAGTTTCTTCAGCTGTTTTTGCTCCTCTGTGTGTGAGAGCTCCTGTGAGAATGATCAGCACTGATGCTGCGGCGGGTAATGAGGGAGAGGAGAGGAGGGAGGAGGGAGGAGGGAGGAGGGAGGATTAGGGGGTTTCTGCAACATCCTGGAACGGGTGTGTCTGCACCTGACTGACAAACTGCATGATGTGTTGAATCCGGGAAACAAACACAAGAGGAAATTCTGGTTCTCTGAGAAAGAGACATAACCAGGGTTCGAGTTATGTGGGAGCCAATGGGAGCTGAGCTCCCATAAGGAGGGGTCTGAGCTCCCACGGACGCAGTGAAATCATACATCTGTGGGGGTCGCTAATACATTACCAACAACCATTATTTTAATCACAAATAATGCACGTGTCAATGTAATTAGTATTATTGAAAATAAAAACATGTTTTCCAAAAGAACAACGCATCTCTTGAATAACAATATGCCTGCACTGCACCTCTTGCACAATCTATGCCTGTGAGCGTGCTGCGCGAGCCGAGATCATGTGTGTGTGCGTAGTTTAACCTTTTCATACAGGGCCGTGGTAAGTAGGGGTGCTGAGGGTGCTTGCAGCACCCCCTGATGGAGGACAGGGAATCTGCACGTCCACAAGATTAAATGGAAATATAATACAAATATAATACCAAAAAATGTTTTCCATGTGCCCTGAGAGGCTCAGTGAGGTAAAGGACTCTGAGTGTTTAGATAGTTCACTTTAGTCTAAGTTATCACAGTGTGTCTCAAACGGTTTTATCACAATTTATGTAAACAAATATTTCCAAGGCACACCTTTATAATTATTAGGATAAATAAAAACAGGTTTGAAATCATTCCAATGTATACTATAGGACAGTAAACCAACAATATCCTTTAAAACTGGAGAGATTAAAAAATATGGATAAATAAATAAATAAATGTTAACTGGTAAAATAAGATATAAATGAACCAGCAAAAATCTTGCCTAGGGCAGCAAATTGGTCAGAACCGGCCCTGGTGTCATCCCCACAGCACCCCCCATTCGAAACATGTTCCCGCGGCTATGTACAACAATACGCCCAAACTGCCCCTCCTTAAAAAAAATGACAGCTAGTATCTACCTCATTGTTTTGTTTTTAGAAAAACAAAAACTAGGTGTGTCTTGTTCTTGTTCTATCAGATGTTTAATGATTCAACATGTTTTTACACTTTCCTGTTTAGATTCTGCCTCGTGTTTGTTGTCATTGGGCCGTATGGAACAACATGTTCTATTCCAATGCTCAATTGCTCTAGGTCGGATTTCCTACTAACGTAATAGACACTTTGGACATTTATTAATCCTAGTAGATTGTGAGTCATCACTAGGCAAGGCGAGGCAAGTTTATTTATATAGCACCTTTCAACACAAAGCAATTCAAAGTGCTGTACACAAATATAAGACAATAAGATCCAACAACACTAACATGTGTAGTCAAATTTGTCTGAAAATGATTTAGAAATGTTGCTTCATTTGGATGGAACATTTGCGAGGCGAAAATGTACCTCACTCTTAGTTTATGAAATCATCAACTCACTATATAAAAAAATGAAAATTGGCATCAACAGCACGAAAACAAAACCGGTTGCAACCATGTTGTCAAAGTAGCAGCAAAAAGAGCCAATGTGATGTACTGCCCGCTTGTTTGTTTGAGAGCTTGAACAACTACTGACAAGTGAAGAAATGCATGGATGAAATGTTGATGTGTGGTTCAGTTGCCTCTATATGCATTGAATACAAACTGATGATTATTTGCGATGCATTTATGTGAAGCAGTATTTTATTGGTGTTGCTGGTTAAGATAAGTATGATGTAACTATTTTATAGACTAATATGTAGCTTTATCAATAATGCCGTGCCACATTTTATAAGCTATTTGTTTTGAATGTAAAGTAGTGAAGTGGGAGTTTAAACTAACAGAGATTTATGCCCGGGCAGCCGAAAATATGTTTTGTGTGCACACTTTTGGGCCTTTGGGGACTCCGTAGAATCACCGCAGACAATTACATTTCAGGAAGTTACTTTGAAACTTGCATGTAAAGTTTCACGCTATGTTTTGCTAAATGAAAGTTAAAACGTTTCACTATCACTCATATCACTTTGTCTGATCTCTCTCTCTCTCTCTCTCTCTCTCTCTCCTCTCTCTCTCCTCTCTCTCTCTCTCTCTCTCTCTCTCTCTCTCTCTCACTCTCTCGCCCTGTAATGAGTTGATTCAACTTCTTAATGTCAGTCTAAATAATACAATTATGTTGGTGCATCATGGCATGTGACTCATTAAAAAAAAGTACAGCTATTATCTACCTCTTGTATAACTGGTCGGCCCCACCTGCATTAGCACAATGGACGAAACAAATACATTAAAGTAAAACCACTTTCCAGCAGTCAGCAGCACATTGTAAAAGCTGTTGATACAACTGTTCACATTCATAATTAAGTAAAGATAACACCCTTTTCACCCCGGTTACATTTTCCATTTGCCCTGAGAGGCTCAGTGAGGTAAAGGACTCGTGTTTAGATAGTTCACTTTAGTCTAAGTTATCTCAGTGTGTCTCAAACGGTTTTGACAAAAATATTTCCAAGGCACACCTTTATAATTATTAGGATAAATAAAAACAGGTTTGAAATCATTCCAATGTCATTTCATTTCATTTCAAACCTTTATTTAACCAGATTGGTCCCATTGAGATCATAGATCTCTTTTTCAAGGGAGACCTGCAGCATATAGGTTCCACATGAAACATAAAACAATAAAGGACATCATACATTATATTTACAGGATACATTTACATAGTTATAGACATTTACAAGTACCCATAGTATCAACGAGCATTTCATTTAGCCTAGCTTTAAAAACATGCAGAGGAATGAGATTGCTCAGTTTCAATTCTTGCTGAAGATTGTTCCAAGCAAGCATAAAAGCTGTCTTACCTAAGACAGTCCTTGCTCTTGGCACATGTATACTATAGGACAGTAAACCAACAATATCCTTTAAAACTGGAGAGATTAAAAAATATGGATGAATAAATAAATGTTAACTGATAAAATAAGATATAAATGAACCAGCAAAAATCTTGCCTAGGGCAGCAAATTGGTCAGAACCGGCCCTGGTGTCATCCCCACAGCACCCCCCATTTGAAACATGTTCCCACGGCTATGTTTTCATATTTAAGTTTGTAGCGAGTAGAGGGCTGCTGGCAGGCCCAGACTGGCCATCGGGAGGGCCGGGAGGTTTCCCGATGGCCTTAATGTAGGCTATTGTGAATGCAACGCTGCGCAAATGTGGGTTTGCCTCACACAGGGTGACTGTCTGTCTACATGATGTGGCATCTGTTTCATATGGGTGTTTCCATAGATCTAGTCTCTTTATTTTCCCCTCAAAATGCACCAGATTGATGCATTTAACTCCAAAATTAAAAAAATATCTTACCAGGGGGGGCATGCCCCCGGACCCCCCTAGAGGATTTGAGGTCCACCCCCAAAATATGTTCACATGGATAGGTTCCCAAATACATTTGCAATTTTTTTTAAATAGTAACCCCTGTCCATATGTTTATTATTGGTGTGTGTGTGTGTGTGTGTGTGTGTGTGTGTGTGTGTGTGTGTGTGTGTGTGTGTGTGTGTGTGTGTGTGTGTTTGAGTTTGAGTGTGTGTGTGTGTGCGCGTTAGTTTCAAAGACCCCCATAGAGCTCAGTTTATAACTCGAACCCTGGACATAACCCCTCTGTTAGTCAAGTCAAGTCAAGTCAACTTTATTGTCAATCTTCCAGTTTGTGTGTACAGCAGAGAGATCGAAATACCGTTTCCCACAATCCTGAATACAAAAATACAAATATATATACAAATATGTATATACCTATATATACACAATCAACAGACACATTTAAACATATGCACACATTAAGACCTAAATAAAAGCACAACAATCAATATATACAAAATAAGTTTAATGTAGTTTACATTTTGATCTTAATTACATAGTACTTTTTTACCTTAGCAGATAATGATATATTTAAAATGTAATGTGTCTCTGTTTGGTCTGTCTAAATTCTTGATCTACATTCATAAAAACACACGTTTAGCATCAAAATATGCCAAAGTTACAAAATGGCTCCTTTTGAACATCTTTCTAGAACCTATTACTTGAGTATTTGTACAATCTGTAAATAAAGTCAGTGATTTAAGCTTTATTGATATAACGGTAACATTTAAATCAATATTAAATGTAAGAAAATATAACTATACTTTTCAGTAACACAATGCCAACAATTCAATAAAATGAACTGAAAGAGTAGCAGTGAGGACAAAAAAATATTTCAATACACATTCATGTTATTATTGTAACTCATCGTGACATGTGATCCGTTGTTGCTTCACAGAATAGACGTCACGACACCGTCAGTGAGAACAGACACCTGACTGTAAAGTGAAATACAGATAAGGCTGAAGGTGTGAACTAATTCCAGTCAGGTTACTGTGATGGCTTCCTGATGTGTTTCCAGTGAAGGACACATTGATTTCCTTCACATATTTTTCTATAAATAAACACCCTTCCACACTTCAATTGAATGTGAAAGAGAAAAAGTTAAAAAATGTAATGTAAAGTAATGTCACTTTTTTTTAAGCCAGATGCTTTAAGATCAATAAGATTCATTTGAAGTTAAACTATGCAAACATTCACATTCACATGTTGCTGTTACCCTTTCTTTAAAGCAGACCTCAGCCTTGCTTAACAAAAGAAACTGAGCAAAAGGAGGTATTTATGTCTCATTCCTTTACAAAGTAGAGGGGCACTGTTTTACTGTCTTAATTGTGGATATTTCTCAAAAGGTAGATGGTGGGAAAACAGCAGTGAAAGCTCTAAGAAACCTCAAGAAAAACTTTAATTGGTGAACAAGTTTCTCTTAACCCATGAGAACCCGGACCCATTTCTACTTTTGGGGAAATTAAGGGGAACATAATTTAGACTAAATAGACCACCTAGAACACATTTCTGACAAGAAACCGCCCCTAGTGTCAAATATCTGAAATGTGTCATA